CTGAAGTGGAGTGTTTTAGCCCAGTAAAATATTACAGGCTACGGAGCAGACGACTATTTTTGCAACTATCAGTACAGAATAGTGATGCTTGCTTTGGATACCAAACGGTACCTGACTCTTAAGCAAGGTTTATTGAAGACCATCAGGTTGTCCTTTGATTTACAGCAGATAGTTAAATCAGTACCTTACAATGACAATCCATGGTTACCTATTTAACCTTACCAGAGGGGATCCCGTCCCTTGGTCCAGGGTACCATTATTGATTAGTAGCACCTTACTCCGTACTGAGCCTGGGACTAAAATAGCAATCAGACGCCTGGAATGCCATGCACTCAGTAGATATCTGTAAATATCTAACTCTGTACCTGCCTAGACTAGAGTCTAGACTAAGAAGAATAGCTCCAAGTGGCGTCATTCAGGAATACGACCCACATCAAAGAAAATGTTAAACCAATGAACAGTGGCTTTACGACGGACTATGAAACACTCAGGGGCAGAGTTGTCAGAGCCTCGAACCAGCCGATGACCTCCCTGGTATCTTACAGGCCCATCTCGCCATACTCGCCCAGCAAATAAATCCCACCCAAGCCAATAGATAGCAGATACGGTACGGTACCACTTATACCCTCTAACTGGCCAGACTGATACGTTGCTGTAGACGCCCAATGGAGAGAAATATTATTCCGTAAATCAATGGGAGTTGGAAAGATCTGGTCCTTATGGGTCGTATGGGTAGATAATTTTGGCAGAGAATATTCTCTAAGAGGTAATATAATTAGACTGCCTACGAGAACTACCTTACCTAGTATTGTTCTGGAATAACCCATAATAATAGGCCCCGTACAGAGTACTCCGTACTACTCTGCCCATCCCGTCCAAGTGCAACCTTTTCTCTCTCTTCATGGCCCATGATTCATGAAGCTGTCTAGCCCCATCTCGAAGCTTTGCTAATCTCTGTCTGTTATTTCTCTGTTCTCCTGTCTTTGACACTTCACTCTTTCTTTATTGCCTGTTCTTGTTTGACATTCGTTCTGCATGCCAACCTTTAGGCAGTAGTCTTGTCATTGCTCAGCAACAAACGATAATCAGCTCTCTCTCTCTCTCTCTCTCTCTCTCTCTCTCTCTCTCTCTCTCTCTCTCTCCCCCCTCTCTTTCAAACCCGACACCCACACAAACACGCTCTCGCTTTTGAATTTTATTTCTTTCCCCGTCTCCTATTGCCTATTGACTTGTCCTTCTATCAAGTCTTTCGTCTCGCGTTCTCGAGTTTACGGAGCCCACTTTTCTCTCTTTGTCTTTCCCAACCGGCCTTGAGGAACAAAGAGAGAAAGAGTGATTCCAAGCGTAGAGTGCGGGAGAACTCACTGCTTGTCAGAGGGGCATGGGGAATTTCTGATCTTCTAAAGAAATCACCAACTTACATGTCGCTCCTTGGTGGCCTCTCTTTCATTCGTCAGTGAAATTCATTGCCGGCACCATTTAGCAGAGCAGTTGTGTGTTTTGAGATAAACCATTCGAGATAGGTTGTGATTCGACCAACTATCAGTTGCAGCTCAATCGTCTCAACATTAGCAGGGCTATACATCCTTGCTCTTTTATCTCCAGTCTCGCGCGGATCGGACTAATACCTGTCGATCGTTCTGGTTGCAAAAAATAATCCGTATCGAAGCGTTTAAGCCACCTCACATTGATGTTCTTTTAGCTCAATTGAACGACTGGAGACTCAGGACTATCAAATCTCGAAGATGCGGATCCTCTCCTTCCCCGTGCTCGCATCGAGCTTCTTGGTCGCTCGGACTCTCGCAGTGGACACAATCAGTACTAACGAGGTATCGACTTGTTTAACTGGCTCCGACGTTGAAGTCAGGGAGCTATCAGTAACATACACTCGCTCCACGAGAGAAGTCGTTTTCAACATTAACGGGACAAGCAAGAAAATACAAAATGTTACTGCATCATTGACAGTGACTGCATATGGCAACCAAGTTTATTCGAAGGATTTCGACCCTTGCAGCTCCGATAATTACGTTGCGGAACTCTGTCCTGGTACGTATCATCCTTCTGTGGAGGTCGTTTATCAGTACCCACTAATAGATGGACAGTCCCCTTGGGCTCTTTTCAAGCCCATGGAACGCAGCAGATCCCGGAAGAGTACGCCAGCCAGATCCCTTCAATTGCCTTCGAGATTCCCGATTTGGACGGTCTCGCCAAAATCGAGCTGAAGTCCAAGGACGATGGGGCGGAGGTTGCTTGTATCCAGTCCGGGCTGTCCAACGGCAAGACCATGCAAGTCCAAGGTGTCACCTACGCCGCGGTAGGTGTGGCAGGCGCTGCACTGGTTTTGAGCGGACTGTCTGCCCTGAGCACGGCTGGCCACCCCGGAGCGAGTTCGTCTAGTCCCAGTTTCGGCGATGTGATGGGTTGGTTTCATAGCATGGCTACCAATGGCATGCTCAGTGTCAGCTATCCAACCATCTATCGCAGCTTCACCAAGAACTTCGCCTTCAGTACCGGCTTGATCCCGTGGGGTGACATGCAAACGGCCATCGACAATTTCAGAGCAGCCACCGGTGGCAACCTCACGCAAAATAGCTATGAGTTTCTTCGCCATACTACTTTGACGTACTCGGACGGTTCATCGACGAACACGACCTCGAAAGTCAAGCGCGGACTGAATCTGATCGTGGGCGCTGTCGATCTGGCAACCAGAGATCTGTCAGGTTCTTTCAGTAGCGACACCACGTCGAGCAATTCGACTGATGGCGATGGGAGTACCTTCCACAAAGCCGTTTCTGGCATCGAGGCCTACGCGGAGCAACTCACCATTCCCCAGGCGAACACATTCATGACAGTCTTGCTGATTTTTGCCATCGTCGTCGCCACCATTGCTGTGGGTATCCTGCTTCTAAAGGTCATCCTCGAACTATGGGCTCTTTACGGATCGTTCCCTGACAAGCTCAAAGACTTCCGCAAAGATTATTGGGGCATTATGGCTAGAACAATTACCAATTTGATCCTGATTTTGTACGGCATGTGGGTGCTGTATTGCATCTATCAACTGACTACCGGGGACTCATGGGCTGCAAAGGTGCTTGCAGCCGTCACGCTTGCCGTGTTTACCTGTGTGCTAATGTTTTTCGGACTCCGTATTATGCATCTGGCTCGAAAATACAGAAAATCCGAAGGTGATACCTCGGCATTGTACGAGGATAGAGAGACCTGGCGCAAGTACAGCCTCTTTTACGACAGTTACAAAAAAGACTACTGGTGGCTTTTCATCCCCGCCATTGTCTACATGTTCGCCAAGGGCTGTGTCATTGCCGGAGCGAATGGTCATGGACTGGTTCAGTCTGCAGGTCAGCTGATAGTCGAAGCTCTTATGCTGGGTCTCCTGCTGTGGAATCGCCCATATGTCGCCAAGTCCTCCCAGTGGATCAACATAACGATTCAAGTCGTTCGTGTCTTGTCGGTTGTTTGTGTCCTGGTATTTGTTGAGGAGCTTGGCCTTTCGCAGACGACCAAGACCGTAACCGGTATCATCCTCATCGCAGTACAGTCTGCCCTTACCGGCATTTTGGCGATTCTCATTGCTGTCAATGCCATCATCATATGTGTCCGTGAGAACCCTCATGCTAGACGGCAGAGAGAAGCGGGTAAGTTGGATGTTCATCATACGCAATTCGTCTCGTTTCGTCGGATAACTGATGTGTCCTTTAGAAAAACTGAACCGTGATATGGACGATCTTACTCCTCTGGACGCTCGAGAATCCCTCCTCATGGACAACCCGCCTCGGAAAGACTATGCGGAGATGAGCAAGTTCAATTTCACCGGCCCTTACGAACCCTATAGGGATCAGCAAGTTCCGCAGCCACAACACGGCCGGATGGGGAGCACAGATCGTCTGGTAGAGCCTGCCTACCATCTGGATGATCAACATGGCCGAAGCTTGAGCCGTGAAAGTCGTCGAAGCAGGGACAGCCATGGCTCCCCTGAACGACACCGCGCAACTGCCCCGGGTTATGGCTTTGCTTACTAGATTTCCAAATCTGATCGGATTTATGATACCACATTGTTTGAATTTTGTTCATATGCTTCATGTTACTTCGACTTCCCTTCAAAGCCTTCTGTTGGAGCATAGACAGCACATTCTCCCAGAATTACTTTCTGCCATTCTCCTTGCTTCTTCGCCATGAATCTTAGCGCATTTGGAGCATATGGAAGGTAACTGTGTTACAACCATCTTCTGCCATTTCTTGCTTCCTATCTATACCTATCCTTCGCCTGTGCCAATCATTTGTCTCGTCATAGCCAGCCACTGTATCGCCTTAAATTATCATTCTTGCTTCTTGTGATTTATTTTTGGCTATACTTTTTGTCTAGAGGCAGCGATCTGGAAGATCAAAAGTTCTATGTCTCAAATAGAAACACTTCCCCTGGTATGTGCCTTTATGTATATATCAACCCTATCTATTGTATGTTCCAGAGTCCATCACATTGCAGTTATCAAGATACGGTGAGACTAACGTACAAAAGCATGGCGCAGTTTGGGCTCAATGGCCTTTTAGAATACATCTGAAGTAAAAACGGAGACCAATCATAAACACTGACTGTCATGCCTCTAAATAACATGCAGAAACACCGTCCTCTCATTTTATCCCCTTTGCAGTCACCCTTGTTTGCTATGAGGTAGAAAAGCAGACGACGACTGGGACTGCGTGGGAAAGACTGTCACTGAATCGACCGGAGACTCGTGTTTTCCGCCGGGAGAGATTTAAGAGCACGAAATCAAAACAGATTTTCAGTCTGCGGTACGCAGATCGGAGGAGAGACCGAGCAAATATCCTTGATCGGATCGAACCTGTTTTTAGGCAAAGACAGGTAAATACGAAACAAACGGAAAAGAAGCACCACGGAGAATGGAAGCCAGATATCAGAGAGATGAAACAGAAGAAAAGGCGAGAGGGCAAGTAAGAACCGACAATGACCCCAAGCTCCAATCCTATCCACGAGAGTAAGGATGGAACCCCCGATGGCCTCCGCGACCTCCGCCACGATAGTTTGCACCGGGCTTTCCAGCATTTTTAGGGCCCGTTGGGGCGTTGGCAGGCGCGGCGCTCGGAGTTGGCTGTGGTGTTGTTCCTGAAGCTTGAAGTTAGCTATATGTAACGAATACACGCGTTTGTTGATGGGAGTAATGCATGTAACGAAAGAAAAAGTATACGTACCGCGTCCAATGCTGCCTGCTCGGTTCATGCCTTGAGGACCAGTGGGGATATTGGGCTGGGGGACCTCGTCATACATGCCCTCCCATGACGTCGGACCGCCCTGTTGATATGGCGAGAATGCCCGGGACTCCATGACCCGGCGTTGTTGCTGCTGCTGCTGCTCGTATTTCTGCTGCTCGAAAGCGAGCTGCTCGTGAGCATTATAGCCCGGTCCGCCCCGAGCGGTCGAGTAGTTTGCGCCCATGTTCATGTTGCCAGCGTTGTTGCCCATCTGGCCCTGCATAGCTCCCATGTTGTTACCTTGAACCTGGTTTTGCATCTGTTGCATCATTGCAGGGTTCATCATGTTCTGCATCTGCGGGGTCGAGCTCTGCGAGGGAGGGCTCAAGCTGCCCGGCTGCTGCGGTTGCTGCTGCTGATTGTTGGCCATCTGCATCTGCTGCATTTTTTGCATCTGTTGCATCTGCTGCATCATGGCCGGGTTCATTGCTCCCATCCCCATGGCTCCCATTCCTTGCCCCTGAGCGGCGGCAACCGCCATCTGCTGCTGCATCAAGGCGAAATATTGCTGCATACGTTGCCAATACTGTGCCATCATCTGTGGTGTCAAACCCGCAGGCATACCAGCCTGCCCTTGCATTCCCTGTGGCTGCTGAGAACCATCGACGCCACCATGACCTGCATCGCGGAAATCTCTGCCGCGCCGGTTCCTGCGATCTTCCTCGTCGCGTAAATTGCCTCTTGGCTGAGCCTTCTTGACTTCAATCGGCTTCCCACATATGGCCAAAGGGCGGGACAGAGCAGCCTCGACAGCAGCTTCACTGTCAAACGTCACAAAGCCGAACCCACGAGGACGTCCGGTGTCCTTGTCGATCATCAGGGTAGCATCAATAACACGGCCGAATTGCGTAAAAAACTCCTTGAACTCCTGCTCCGTTGCCTCTTGGCTCACACCACCAACAAAAATCTTACTCGTCTTCTCCTGTTCGTCACGGGGGATTGCACGCTTAGGGTCAATCTGCCAGCACGTTAGCTCACGCTCGATCCGTTTTGATCACTTTTGGCGCATGCGGTAGAATAGACAGAATATGCGTCTTACAATTTTCCCATCCAGGTAGTGCTCTTTGACCATCACTGTGTTGACAGTCTTTGGATCCTTGAAGGTCAAGAAGCCGAAGCCCCTAGAGCGACCAGTAGCGCTGTCCCGCATGACAGTACACTCTTGGACTTCACCAAACTGGGAGAAGTAGTCCTTCAGAGACTCTATTCATTATGTCAGACTGCTGTCAAAGACTTGAGTAAGCTGCAATAATATTAAGACTCCACGTACGGTCTGTTGTCTCCCAGTTCAAACCACCGATGAACATCTTCCTAATTAACCAGATCATCAGTAAATGCATCCATCTAACCAGAAACAATGCACTGTCAAAACTGATAGATTCAAATGAAGAAATGAGCGCAAGAAATAAAGCAGGACAGGATCCCAGAAAAGTCGTGATCAAGGACGCGTTGATGGCAGGCCGACTGGTATTGTTATTGTCTGCAAACGCAGTGCACAGTGCTGCTATCCGTGATATTCTAACCAGTAGCTATGTGATTGAATATATGCAGGGGTTCGAAAATGAGTTGCGACAGCAAGCGGGTTGCATTGTACTGGCGTGCTCCGGTAACGCGAACAAGTGCGCAGATTCGTCTCACAGCCAGCCCGGAAATCGTCCATGACATGCATACAATGACTGTGATTGCAGTTGGACAGAACTGCTCAGGCTGAAAAGCAGGCATCTCTAGTCGTCGACATCCACTGGTTTACGGGATAATCCAGCGGGAGTAGAGCAAAAGAAATATGTTCCAAGGCCGAGTGGCATGAGTCGTGATTTGTTGATAGAAGGACCACGGATTGAAGCGCGAGAGGCGGAATATAGACAACTGAATCTCTTCTTTTTTCTGTCTGACCAATGACCCTTCGACTGTCTGTCTAATAGGGTCGAAGCTAGGTAGTAAAACTGTTCGATAGTGATCCACCAGACAGCCAAGGCTTCTATTCCTTGCTCTGCTCTATCAAGATATATCGACAAGAAGCTATCTGATAGCGTCTGTACTAGTAGTCGCTCGCAACAAGGTCTCGTAGTGTGTGTGATATCTTTCTCTTTGTAAACTTCATGTCGATGTTGACTCGACCATACATATCTCCCTTGAGCCTGGTCTTGGAGATAACCATTCACTCATCAGACGGCCCTTTATAGCTAAATCTGACGCAACCGAATGATATCTCTGTCTCTGCCCAGAGACAACTGGTGCTTCGTCCCCTTCCGATAGATGCGAACCGCCAAGTGGGAGGCTAGGCCGATAAAGTTCAGAGGTTGTCATCTTTCGTCTCTCTCACCACGCCGACACAGTTTGATAAGCGTCTCCTACTCCACAGGATCGCCTGGTCCAACTCATTGAATGGAAAGTTATCTCGCGCAGCAACTAGCACCAGAGCGTGATAGCCTAGTGCGCCGCGAGTCGACGTGAGAGCGAATGCACCAGAACGGCTATACACGTACGCGGGCAACTTGCGAGCCCCGGATGTGCTCAGTGCGCTCACTCACTTGTTCCAGTAGACGATACGTCTGGTCTTCGACGCAATGGTGTGACAATAGAGGGGAAAATAAAGGGGAAAAAAGATCCAAGATTGTACAAAGTAAAATATAGAGAATTACTTACCCATCTTCCTTGATTCCGGTGCCCTGAGGCTCTTGTTCGGTCGCGAGAGCGGCAATAACATTGGTAGTATGATTCGTATCATACATGCCAGAGCCATTTCTTTGATGTCCTTCATACGAATACGCGTAGTGATCCGCAGTATGAGCGTCTTCTGGCTCTGACTTGAAATTCTCTACAGTTTGTGTCGCAGGAGAAGTCGTTGCCTGGACAGGCGCGGACGACACTGTGGAGTCGGAAATCTTGAGAGCTGAAGACGTCTGGTTCGTATTCTCATCCGCGTCGTACCTAAGAAGAAAGGAGTCAGGGAACGCCTCGAAAATCATGTGCGAACAAGAGTCTTACAGATCAGCAAAAAGATCTTCCTCTACATCCCCTGGCTCGGCCATATTGAATGTATATTAGGAAATGAGAAGAAAGCCTTGAATGAGAAAAGCTGCCAGGTTGTCTGTTTGAGAAAATAGAAAACAGTTGCGTGAATATGGAAGCAAAGATTTTGTTAGTGAAGCTGATTTGACTGAGACTCAAGTCAAATGAAGTTGATTTGGGATTAGTTAAAGTGCAACGAATAGTCGTTACGTTCGATAATGGATGAGAAGGGAAGGAAAAGAAAAATAAAGAAGAAGGGGAGATCAATCAATAGCGAAGTGGGTTGAGTTGTTGTGTTGAGAGTGATGATGGAGGGAAGAGTGGAAGAGGTCAAGAGAGAGGAGACAGAGACAACCGACCGCCAAAGATCCATCAGCGTTAGTGGTAGTAGCATCCCGTACGAATCTCTCTCCCTCTCACAATTGCCGGAGACAGTATATACCTCTCTCTTCTTAATAATACCATAATGGTCTTTTTCTGTGAATAATCATAATCATCATCAAACCAGTCTGCGCCCACAATTGCCGTTGAATTTAGTGAACAAAGTCATTCCAGCACCCCAGACCATTGCCGCATCAACTGTTCCCTTTTCCCCCGCACTTTCTCCCGAAGCCGTACAAAGTGCTTCCGATGACCTTGTGTATCCCCATTCATCGAACCAATTCCTCTTCCCAGACAGTTCATGACGATGGCTGCTAGGAAGAGCCAGCAGCAGGTATGCAATGTCTCTCAGCACAGTCGTTATTGTCGCGCGAGGCTGATCGAGAACTGATTGCAAACAGGAGATGGTCCAGGTTGGTTCGTACCTCAACAGTACTCCATGTCTCATATCTCCGAATTCAGTGGCTGATATAACTCCTCGTTTGCCTCATGCAGATTGTTCCGAGTACGTTCCCAGAATTCATTTCTTAACAGAGGTTGCCTCCATCACGTTTGAGCATTAATAAGTGCTCTTTCACTTGTTTCCTTTAGTTCTTGCCTAATTGCTGACCTTCCCCAAAGACGGGCTGGCTCTCCGTTCTGGAAAGGCAGATCGGTGTCTCAACCTCAAGGACCTTCAGCTACCCCAACCACAATTGTTGGCGCTTCATACTCTCATGCGAATATCTTAAAGTTTGTCATCTCTAGTCTGGTCTGTCCCCGGCCTATGAACTGACCAAGAGCGATCTTTGAAGAGGCATACCACAGCAGCAAGCGCGACCCCGTACACCTCCAAAGCCGTCATCTACCCAATCGCAGCATGTCTCCCCATCTTCTCATCGATCAGGGACATGGGTCACGTCTCCGCGTACCTCATACTCTAGCCTTGTGAATCAAGGAGTCGACTTATGGCACCCTGACTCTGCAGGCGGGGCGAGTGACAATACTGACGACGGTGATGAGGAGGATATCGTTTACGACGACGATGAGGACGAATTTGGCCTTCCCAGCATTGCGAGTATGCGAAAGAAACAGACCAAAAATGCCATAAAATCTCAGCTCAAAACATCTGATTTGGGCAGCGCTGTGCGTGCCAACAATTCAACATTGGGAGTCAACTTGGCGAACAGTAGGCAACGTGCAAACAGTTCGGATATCGCCGAGGAGCGCGGAGTGTCTATGTATCCAACGACGAGAAAGAGTGAGGGTAAAATCCTACGGCCTCAGTACAAAGACATCCTGAAAGGTACTTTAGTCTCCCTGGGAGCAACTTTCGACCAGATGCTGACTGTCGCTGCTTTAGATCCCGCGAACGCATTAAATCTTATTGACCATGCACCTCCGCCGAAGAATGGGTCGCCAAAGGAGATGGAAATATACTCGAGCAGAATCTCAAGAATCAACAAATTCAAACGTCTACTTCAGACTAGCACCGTTTCCTTATCAGAGTTGAGAAATCTGGCATGGTCTGGCATCCCTGCTGAAGTTCGCGCCATGACCTGGCAAATCCTGCTCGGTTATCTTCCGACGAACAGTGAACGGCGAGTTTCTACGCTAGAGAGAAAGCGCAAGGAATATCTCGACGGAGTCCGACAGGCTTTCGAACGCAGCACTACCCCGGCTCCCGGCAATCCACCTGCTTCCTCCGCAGGCCGCGGCAGAGCCCTGGATGAAGCGATATGGCATCAAATTAGCATTGACGTTCCTCGCACCAGCCCTCATATACAACTCTACGGCTATGAAGCTACACAACGCTCCTTGGAGCGAATCCTCTATGTCTGGGCCATCCGACATCCTGCCAGCGGTTACGTACAAGGAATCAATGACCTTGTCACTCCATTCTGGCAGGTTTTTCTCGGCATGTACATGACGGATCTCAATGTGGAAGAAGACATGGATCCAGGCCAATTGCCACGGAGTGTGCTCGATGCTGTGGAGGCGGATTCATTCTGGTGCCTCACGAAACTTCTTGATGGAATTCAGGATAATTATATATATGCTCAACCGGGGATTCACAGGCAAGTGAGAGCTTTGCGCGACCTGACAATGCGTATCGATTCTACGCTCGCCAAACATCTTGAAAACGAAGGAGTCGAATTCATGCAATTCAGTTTCCGATGGATGAACTGCTTGCTGATGCGGGAGATGAGTGTCCAGAACACCATACGGATGTGGGACACCTACATGGTATGTTCGATAGTCCGAGCGGCGCTCAAAAGCATCGGAATCATATTAACTCACTGTCAGGCTGAGGAGCAGGGCTTCTCGCGCTTCCACGTATATGTTTGCGCAGCGTTTCTCGTCAAGTGGTCAGACCAGTTGATCAAAATGGACTTTCAGGTAGGTTCTGATACCACTCACGTCTTGAATCCCGCCGAGATGCTAATTATGCTCAGGAAATCATGATGTTCTTACAGGCACTTCCAACAAAGGACTGGACTGAGAAGGACATTGAACTCCTGCTCAGTGAAGCCTTTATCTGGCAGAGTTTGTTCCAGGACTCCCGTGCGCATCTACGCCCCGCTGGCGACCGATCACCTGAGGACGGCTTGCAATGACAACATACATTATTCAATTCCGCCGTCAACCATGCCTCAAATAGAATGCCCCTGGCGTTGCTGGAAACACGCTTTGCCCCCCATCCTCGCTGAGATTGGGGCTCACCTGCAGCGGACAAGTCTCTTCCGGGGTTCGCATCCCAGACGTGTCTCACCTCACCCACTTTTGGCTGTCTTATTCCCAGATCCATCTGCAGGGCCACATATCGTCTTTCCACCGCTTGCCATCGTCTCAAAGCATCAACAACCCTATACACCATATCTCACCTCCGACAAAGCTCATTTGGTGGAGCTTTTCTGTGAGAGCACCAGTCAACTATCTGGAAATATCTAATAGGTTTTCGCGCTTACTATAACGATCTCACAATTTGATCCTTGCCTCCGCTGCGCAGCTTTGATAAACGCCGCATCTTATTGCTGGCTGATCCTTGGCTTAATTCTCCGGAAGGCCTTTCTCTTTGTGCTAGTAGCATCACCTATGTCCATGCATAATCTTGGACAAACATTTGCTCAGCGATGTGATATTTACCTGACCCCGATTTAGGGCCAGAAAAGGGACTCCTTAAGAGCCAGACGCATCTCCGAATTGGCCTGCGATGGAGTTTAGTATGTCGTTCGACTAGGTTGCATCTAGACATTGGGTTGAGCTTGCTGAAATAGCAAAAGGGCTCCGCAGAAAGACCTACAGCACAAGTAAAGGCACAGAACCTTGTCCTGATGTGGATGTGAACAGTTCGATAATAGAAACCGCTTCTGCTTTGTAAATAATTCCACAGGCATTCGAAACAGACGTGACGAAGCATATTAAGGGCTCACTTCTCCAATGCTGAGGATTACATTTAACACGTCCACTCGGAATCTACTACATAACTTCTGAGATTGATTTAGGAGTCATGGTCCAATCCCCCATTGATATTTCAATTTACTTCTATGTCTCATTCTGTCCCTCTTGTTTCTTTCGAATGCCTGTGCTATGCTGCTGATCTTGGTAGTGACCTAGTGAATGCCTCAAAATGCGGAGACCCTGATAAGATAAGCGGGTCGGAGGTACTTTGTTGCAGGCATTGCCACCCAAAGCTCACGTCTTCATCAAATCAGAATTTATATTGCCCTTCTGTTTGTTTTCATCTTTTAGCCAGTTTATCGTTGAGCTTCGGTCGATATGGCCTCAGGTCGGAAGGATTTCCTGAACCAACCTGCGCCCGAAAATTATGTCGCGGGTTTAGGTAGAGGTGCGACCGGCTTCACCACCCGTTCTGACTTGGGACCTGCGCGTGAGGGTCCTACACCTGAGCAGATTCAGGCCGCTCTTGCCAAGAGAGCGCAACTTCTCGGAGCAGCTCCCCCAACCGCATATGGCGCAGGACGCGAAAAGGGTGGACGAGAAGAGAAAGAGGAAGAAGAGGAAGACGAACGTTTTCAGGATCCGGACAATGAGGTTGGACTTTTTGCCTACGGGCAATTCGATCAAGAAGATGACGAGGCGGACCGCATCTACAAAGAAGTAGATGAGAAGATGGATAAGCGCCGGAAAGCAAGAAGGTTAGTACATGCCTCCCATTCCTGTATCTTGGAGATGCGTTGTTCATCGGGTTTACCCCCCGTTGTTTGGACAGATGACCGACTTGATTCCTTCGCCACCTATAGGGAAGCTCGAGAACGTCAAGAACGTGAAGAATACGAACGCAAAAATCCGAAAATTCAACAACAGTTCGCCGACCTGAAGCGCTCACTAGCCTCTGTTTCAGAAGAGCAATGGGCCAATCTTCCGGAAGTCGGAGACCTTACGGGGAAGAATCGAAGAGCTAAGCAGAACCTACGACAGCGCTTCTATGCGGTACCAGACAGCGTTATTGCCAGTGCAAGGGACTCCACTCAGTTCGAAACCACCATAGCCGAGGACGGCACCCAGACGGATGTCCGTGGAGGCGAGGCGGACGGCACGATGACGAACTTCGCGGATATTAGTGCTGCCCGTGATAAGGTGCTTAAGGTCAGGCTTGATCAAGCCGCCCGGGGTTCCACTGCTGATTCTTCCTCCGGGAGTGCGACCAACATCGACCCGAAAGGATATCTTACAAGTTTGACGCAGTCGGAGCTGAAAGCCGGCGAAGTCGAGATTGGCGACATCAAGCGAGTGCGTGTCTTATTGGAATCTGTAACCAAAACGAATCCTAAGCACGCTCCTGGATGGATTGCACTTGCGCGATTGGAAGAACTTGCTGGAAGAATTGTGGCCGCCAGGAACATCATTGCCAAGGGTTGCGAACTATGCCCGAAGAGTGAGGATGCGTGGCTCGAAAATATTCGTTTGAACGAAGGCCACAATGCCAAAGTCATCGCAGCCAATGCAATCAAGAATAATGATCGTTCCACAAGACTTTGGATTGAGGCCATGAGGCTGGAGTCCGACACTCGCGCCAAAAAGAATGTGCTTAGGCAAGCCATTCTCCACGTGCCCCAGTCAGTTACCATCTGGAAAGAAGCCGTTAACCTGGAAGAAGATCCCGCCGATGCACGTCTTTTACTGGCGAAGGCAGTCGAAATGATCCCTTTGTCTGTTGAGTTATGGCTTGCTCTTGCCCGTCTAGAAACTCCTGAAAATGCACAAAAGGTTCTGAATGCTGCTCGCAAGGCCGTCCCTACGAGTCATGAAGTTTGGATCGCGGCTGCACGATTGCAGGAGCAAATGGGCACTTTCGAGAAGGTCAATGTGATGAAGAGGGCAGTCCAAGCGCTGGCAAGGGAAAATGCCATGCTTAAGAGAGAGGAATGGATCGCGGAAGCTGAGAAGTGTGAGGAAGAGGGAGCCATTCTCACATGTGGCGCAATCATCCGCGAGACTCTCGGATGGGGGCTTGATGAAGATGATGACCGCAAGGATATCTGGATGGACGATGCGAAGGCCAGTATCGCCAGGGGCAAGTACGAGACTGCAAGAGCAATTTATGCTTATGCATTGCGTGTCTTTGTCAACCGTCGATCTATTTGGCTCGCGGCTGCCGACCTGGAGCGTAACCATGGCTCCAAAGAAGCTCTCTGGCAAGTCCTTGAGAAGGCAGTGGAGGCATGCCCTCAAAGCGAAGAGCTATGGCTCCAGCTCGCGAAGGAGAAGTGGCAAGCTGGCGAGATCGACGACGCTCGACGCGTGCTCGGGCGGGCTTTCAATCAGAATCCGAACAATGAGGACATCTGGCTCGCTGCTGTCAAATTGGAAGCGGATGCGGACCAGACAGATCAAGCTAGGGAACTCCTCGCAACCGCCCGACGGGAAGCTGGCACTGACCGTGTTTGGATCAAGAGTATCGCTTTTGAACGGCAACTGGGCAACATTGACGAGGCGCTTGATCTGGTGAATCAGGGTTTGCAGCTGTATCCCAAGGCCGATAAACTTTGGATGATGAAGGGGCAAATCTACGAATACCAGAACAAATATCCACAAGCCAGAGAGGCTTACAGTACTGGTACCAGAGCTTGTCCCAAGTCGGTGCCGCTTTGGCTCCTGGCCTCCAGACTTGAAGAGAAGTCTGGTGCCGTTGTCAAGGCTCGTTCAGTTCTCGATAGGGCACGCCTTGCCGTCCCAAAGAGCGCTGAGTTATGGACAGAGAGTGTCCGTGTGGAACGGCGTGCAAATAATATCGGACAGGCCAAGGTCTTGATGGCCAAGGCTCTGCAGGAAGTTCCGACCTCCGGTCTACTATGGAGCGAGAGTATCTGGCATCTCGAGCCTCGGGCGCAACGGAAGGCCCGTAGTTTGGAGGCGGTCAAGAAAGTCGATAACGACCCGATCCTCTTTATCACGGTAGCTCGTATATTTTGGGGTGAGCGTCGACTGGAAAAAGCCATGACGTGGTTCGAGAAAGCCATCGTGTCGGACAGCGATCACGGCGACGGCTGGGCTTGGTACTACAAATTCCTGCTGCAACATGGTACAGAGGTTCGTTCATCTTCGTCCGTTTCTGATTTATTGCCATCATTCCTTGCGACTAACGTGACTTTACGTACAGGAAAAACGAGCAGACGTTGTGGCCAAGTGCGTCTTGACTGAGCCCAAACATGGTGAGGTTTGGCAGTCTGTGGCCAAGGATCCAGCCAACGCACGCAAGTCGACGGAAGAGATTCTCAAGATGGTTGCAGACCGTCTCACACAGTGAATTAAATGTACACTATCAGGTTTTATTTTATTGCGTTATTCAGCCGAGACATTGATGCTATCACGGAGTTGGCGTTCCGGAGAATGGCAAGATCGAATAATTGACTCATGAGAATGCTTCCTAGAAGCAGAAATGATAGACATCTACATTATTAGTCTTATAAAGCAATGACAGCATTACATCTGAGGAGCAATGCAGTTAACCAGTGTGACATGTGCCACTGCGATGTAAGGCCGCCCATTATCAATAGATAGGTCAATGTGAAACTATCACAAGAGCAATTCTAGTAATATACAGTAAGATGAAGAGGAAGTAGCCCCAAAGAACGACATACAGAGCAATCCCCACTTAAGAAAGCTTCTTATCTTCTCATCAAAGGGCAAATATGTAAATTCGATCCCCGACATGCCCTGATTTGAAAAGAGAGAGGCGGGGGAAAAGAAAAGGGAAAAAGAGAAAGCTAAAGAGAACAGTGAATTAACCGAGTCCTGGGTATCAAGCGCGACTCGCAGCACATCCAAGCACTGTCATTTCCGTCTCTTCTTCACCATCGTGCATACATCCCTTCAGTATGAGCTGCCAAGGCTGTGAGAACCTTGATATGTCTTTCGACGTCGCTTCAAAGCTGAAGCCTAGGAAGCAAAACTCCACCAATAAACAAATACTGGGATAACAAGAGAAAAAGTGGGAAGAAATCGTACAACAGAGATTTCAGTTCGAACTCCATGCCAAATGCAAACTCATGATGTCCAACCAATGACAACAGTCCTTTGTGACTCCAAAGACGCCTTAACAGATGCCCCCTGTCCAAACCGGCATGCTGCAGTCCTTGCGCAGTAGTATAAACATGCTAAGCACATGCAACTAAGAAATCATAAATGAACTGCAAAGTGAGGAGGAAGGGGAAGGAGAATGAAGGGAAGGGGAGCTGGTTTCCCGACGAAGCCATTAGAGGCCATCATGGACGTAACAGCCAGGGAGACCGACTGTAGGTCGACAATGAACGCTCATGAGGCCAGAGAAAGGCACTCATCTAGTAACGAGCCCAACTGAGCCCGGTCTACCGCGGTGGCTCCTTCCCAGTCCAACAACTCTGCATCGTCCTCCACCTCCATTTCATCTGTGAACTGGATCGGTCTTGTGTCATTATCGGCAGTGTCGGCAACTTCCTCGATTTGGTCTTGTTTGTCGGTCTCCAATTCATCCTCGAAATAACCTCCCATAATATGATCGACAATAAGAGGCATATGACTGAGCACTCCTCCTCCAATTTCGAGCGCTAGTCGAAGATCGCGAACCCCGAGAGGCTTCCGATTCCTAGCTTCCTTGGCCTCGACGGGTAGAAGCCCAGTCGCGCTGTCTTTAACGATTTCGCCGCGAGTATAGGCTAGCTCTTCTAGCTCAAGTTGCTGTCGATATTTGCGCATCATCATGCCATTGATCGTGCCAGACGGGCCATTGCACCTGGTACGGGAAAACACCACGGATAGTACTTCCTTAACGAAAGTCTCTGTTGCAATCGCCATAAACTCAGCACACGGTAAGCCTGCACCGCTAACTACAGACTCCTCATAGCATATCGGTATCATTCGCGCATGTATTGATTCGGCGTCTGGAAACTCGCCAGTTTCCGATGCCAAGGGTTGCGCGTAGCGTTTCCGAATCTCTAACTCCCAATCTGGCGGTCACCGACCAGTTAGTCCGGCTTGATGAAAGTAGTGTTCAAGATGTGTATGAACTTACTTGTTTTATTCAAACCCCCAGCACTAGCTGGGACTTGGCTAGGGAGCTTGATCTGTTTCGCGAGATGATATTCTTCCACTTCATTGGGCACAATCTCATGAGGGTCACGCTGGTTATGACGACGACAAAGTCAGAGGCCGTCATAATCCACAGAATTCCTGGTGACATACCTCTGGAATAGCTTTTATTCGCCGACGGTCTCTGGGAGGTAATTGCATAACCTCTGTCTTCAACCTTGTCTCCGCGGCATCTCCAGAGGAGGGTTTCGATACGACCGACGGCTTGTCGTTCGCTGACACCCAACTTGCCACGCCATGGTCGGGGAGATCTCTTGTGAGGTTCCCTATGATCGCACATATGAAATTGTTGTGGAGATGTTCGGTCTTCTGGTCAGCGCAAATGATGTGATCAACGCGCGACGCGAGCTCATTTTGATTGAGATGTCCTGCCGCAGAGAATCAGTTTGTCAGTTTCATGATGAGCAAAACAAGCAAATTGAAGCGAACTGGAAGCAGGCGCGCATACCCAGAAGGAATAGGGTCGTAGATTCTTTGTACTCAGCCCAGTTTTCACCGATAGCGGCTTTGAGTTCCGTGTAGATAGGTTCGAGATCCAATCGCGGAACTGATATCAACGCCTTTGTAGACTTTTGTGTTGTCGCAGGGCCAGGTGCTGCGGTCTTGGATGATGCTGTCGCAGTTGATGCAGAGTCTGTCCGACTCAGGGCTGCCGGATCGATCTGCATGATTGCAAGGCTCGCAGAGGCGCGACGGGCTGCGCGAAGCCGGAAGTGGGGAGAACTAGGCCTTCATTAATAAGAATACATGCCATTAAACTGGCCCCCGATTTGCTCTGGAGGTCGCGGATGATGAAGGACCGGAAAAATGGTCGAGACCTCGATGAAAAAGGCGGCGCGTTGATGACCGAAGCGATGGAAGGAGGTCGGGGGTGAATCGTGGAGGTGGACGACTTCCCCGCCAAAAGCAGAAAGATGAGGTTCCAGTCACGACAACAGACCGCAATTGCGGCCAGGGTGTGCAGGTCGCAGAGACGCAGAGAGGACAATGCTACGGAGATACCCCGATGAATTTAAGAGGTAATGGACCATTGGTAAACTGCGTATAGAGCTCCAAAGAGTTTCATTCGGGATACGCCTAGTAAACTAACTTGACTACGTCCTCATTGAGCACACCGAATAATCTACCAATCTCTTCCATAATTTCCACAATCTCGGTCGATAATTGACCCGTCACCAGAACTACAATTAAGAGCAGTCAATGTCAGATCAATTTGCAGTATGTCGCTCCATAGAACGCCCATGCGTTCATGAGTGACGGAAAGGGACCAAGCTCAACTTACTGTAGGCATAGAGCAAGGCATAATCTTCATCTGTTGTTGACCGAGAAGCCTCGGGGTCCTTGCGATAGTGGAATATACGGGCAAGAAGTCGATCTCTTGCATGCTCAATGTTCGGAAGTACATCGATCAGCGGATATTCCAATTTCATAGAAGACGCCATGACTGTCAAGTGTTAGCTGGTCAGAAAACAGCAATGCGTTAGGGATTACACAAGATACTACCTGACAATAAGTGGCTGATGCGAGCAGACAAATGCTCTCTTTCCTGAGCTGTATAACTGAGCAGAGCCAGTTCACCTTCCGAAGCAGGCACATTTTTGATCATCTCTAGATTCATGGCGTGGAATGCGTTCACCATGCTCCTTGTGCGACGGAGTATATTGCTGTATGAAGCATCGGGAAACGGACTCTTCAGCTCAAATTCTGCGCGAGCTGCTGCTTGAAGAGCTTCCAGACGAGACAGAAACCGCTCAATCTCCAGCTTCTCTCTTGGGGTCATGAAGCCCATGAAATGTTCCCCTTTCGCCAGTAGGGACAACGGGTAGCGCTTCCAGATCAGACTCATACGAAGCCATAAGAGGCTCAGGCCGTCCTTGAGCTCCTTGCGTGCGCTAATAGGCCAAATGAGCCGCGTAATGACGATACCCCAGATGCAGCCAGACAAAACCGCTGCAACTCGATGGAGCGTTATGTCGGTGATGATGGGAGAGTCACCACCCTCATCCTGGTCGTCACTACCCTCTTTTTGCGTCAAAGAGTACGCGTACAGTACAGAAAGATTGTAGGTGAGCATAATGAATCGACCCATCGGTCCTTTCCCCATGACAACAATTATATAAGATGTCCAAGTTGCCATGACCAGACCGAGAATGGCCAGTCCAAACACGTTCCCATCGGTCACGTACCATGCCGTGATGGCACAGATCGCTCCTAGGCATGTACCTAGGAATCGAGAATAACCTGTGGTATTGGACGCCCCGATTGTCATAGAACACACCAACATATAGGATAACAAGCCCCATTCACCTCTCCAATGAGAATAGAACGGCCTTGTGGATTCAAGGAAGGCCGGCAAAGCGTACAGAGCTGCTCCTGTGCCGACCTTGATCGCGAACTTTGTGTCTTCACGTCGGAATACTCCAAGCGATTTCCAGATTCGATAACTGAGGCGCTCCTTCGCGGGCAGATTTTTCGGGCGTTGTGTTGAAGGTGTCAGTCTACCTGCCAGTCCAGAAGGACTGATAGAAGCCACAGTAGTCACCCCTTCTCCAACCGTTGGCCCAAGTAACGGTTGCTCTATACGATCTTTCCGTTAGGACCAAGTAGGTAAACTGAAGCACTTGTGCCAGCTTGACAGAACTTACCAGAATCGAGAGGCTTCGTGTTCTGGGTTTGGGCTGTTCTCAACCGCCATACTTTTAACCAGCCCCATGACCTCCCATTAGGTCTCTCCTCGGCTTCTAGTTGTAGTTGGTCTAAGATAGCCAGCAGGCCTTTCAGCTGTTCGCCAAATTCCAGCAGCGAGAAACTGAAATGTCCGCAGCTGGCAGAAACTTCCTCGAGATCAGCTTCTACCTCCGGCGTTTGGATCTGTGAAAGTTCCTTCTGGCGATAGATAACCTTCAAAGCTTCCTCTCGCGATTGTTGATAAAGTTCCAGCGCGCGATCAAGACTAACATGGAACCTACTGTTGACAGAGACTTTATAGTCAGGCGCAGGCGTAAAAGGAATCTCTTCGAAAATTTCTTTCAAGGTGAAAGCAAGGGATCGCTGTTGACTGTTAGCATAATCTCAGCGTGGTTCGATCAAAAAGAGATTACATACCATGGAAGGCCCTAAGTGGCTGATGAACAGCGCAAACAAGTCTTCAGGATGAAGGGTATGCTCGACAGAAGATCCTTCGTCTCGGTCCGGATCTGGATCAAAGTGGTCTCCACTGAGTCGGCGATCATCTTCAGCTGCTGCCTCTTCCTCTCCCCCAGGTTGTTGTTCAGGCATCTCGTCAATTGATTCGAGAAGTGTACTGTGCCCGTGCGAGGAGTACAGACTTGGCGATGGCCCATGGTCAGTACCATTGGGAGTATTCTTTTTATCGCGACAGGATACTGGATCAACCAGCTTCGCTTGCTTCAAAAGTTGGAATTGCAGAGAAGCAGCACTGCGTAGTCCTCCCATATTGTGTGTGATATCTTGGACCCACCGAACTAAGTTCTTTTCTAGCCTGTATTCTTTTTCTGTTCCCGCGACGAAGTGCTCAAGCTTTGCCTCTCGGACAAGCTTGTCGAGTTGGGCATATGCCTTTTTGTGTCGCTCAGCTGCGTCGAGGAACTCGGCCGTGTGAAGGTCCTCCTCGGAGCCACTTAGAAAACTGTCCGTAATGAGGGCCAGCATGATTGCCAGAGTCTCAGTGACAATAGCGAGGTTCGAGCGCAGTTTTTTCCGCGCAGAGATGGGGAATATCAAGAATGACACCGCCATGGCAACGGTGACGCCCATGACGACCATCTTCAAGACTTGGACGACCTTTGTGAAGGACAAATCTCCGCTTTGCACCGCACCTTCTTTCGTCAATACGGTGATCGACGCAAGCGAAGCAAGGGAACAGGCGACGTTCACAAGCGGATCGCCGAATCTTTGCTTCGTCCATCCTATGAAGCCCAAGCCACCTCCGCAGAACACTATAAGAACAACGGCATGGCCAACTGCGCGCATGTCCAGCGTATCCTGGAAGAACATGCTAACACACATGCTCGTTAGGGAAATGAAGGCTGCATATAGGAAGGCCAAGAGAGCGCAAATCAGCGCCTTGTACATGCTGCCTTGGGACCGCGCTGGATGGAAATATACTGTGACAGTAGCCACCACATGCTTGCCATCTTGATGACCCAGGAAGGCCGCAACCGCGGGAATGAAAGTAGCAAGAGACCCGAGTAGATAGGCCAAACTGCATTTTAAAACCCCCGTTCCGGGCTCGGAGGCGACAAAATCACGCGTCCAACGCCATACGTCTGAAATTCGACTGCAAATCCGCGATAAAACGTCTTGACGGTTCGTGGAGACTTCCCCGGAGAGAAGGCCCCGTCGCTCCTCATCATCATTGCTGGTTACAATATATGAGCTCCGTAAATTGACAAGCCCTCTTAAGCGTTGACCAGTCTTTGGTAGAACAAACGTCGCTTGTCGAAGCTGCATGAAATACCAAAGTTAGAATGGCCGATGTCTAAATCTGAGAGCTGGGGACGGTGATCCATGTTACCTTCGTTGGGCGCAGAAAGCGACGGGAACCTCTAGATGAGTCCCCAGACAGAGACATGTTACCAACTCATTGTCCTTTGCCTTTCGCAAGGCACACGAGAGAGGACATTACTGTGAACTTATGCAGTATTATTGGGTATCGAGTCGCATATGTTCAGCAGAATCTTTGTTGACGCTGCCCGGACTGTTTGGGCGATCATTTGGGGGTGTCCACTTTAGGCCGGTGTGGAGCGCGCCAGCAGCCATTACGTAGTGATACCAAGCAATACATACTCTGTAGCTACTGCCACATCCTTTGAAAGCATCGATTACGCACTCAGACAAAGAACGCTTACTATTGTCGCTACAATATGTAGTCGAACGAAAGATAATATGTGCAGATGTTATGCTCAGATTCTGACAATATATCCATCGACAATCCGAAGCCCGAAGCATGATTAGCAATCAAGTATTACGAGCTCCAATGGTAGTCTTCACTGTCGCCTTGGTGGCATCGATATGATCCTATTCCAAGCCTTCTACCTTCCAAACCTTGACTGCGGCATCAGCGCCAGCGGAGGCAATCCTAGACCCGCCTGCAAGCCAGGCAACACCATTGACACCCTCCTTGTGAGCATTGGACACTTGTAACCAATCTCCTTGGTTGGCTAAACTCCACACAAAGATGTTCGTATCCAAAGAACCGCTCGCTAAGAGTGTGCCACTTCCGTTCCATGCAATAGAAGTGATTCTTGCTGTGTGTGCCGTCCAACGGTCAGTGACCAGACTGCCGTCGGCCACCTGGTACACGAGCACGCGTCCTCGCGAGTCACCAATGGCCAGCAGAGACCCATTGGGCGAAAAGGCAAGAGCAGACACTGGGTTCCGAGAGGCTTTGATGTCTGTCTTGGGAGACAGACTCGAGTTGGAGATTTCACAGATCTGCACGGACGAATCTTCGCCTCCAACCGCCGCGACATTGCCATGAGCCGCGACAGCAGTAACTGCCGATTTTGGTTTGAAATCACCGGTCTTCTTTCCATCCTTATAGATCTCAACGCCTTCGGATGTACCCACCAAAACTGTCGAGTCACCGGCGGCGACACTCTTGGGCTGCCCAGAAAGCTTGGAGTTACTTCCAGTGTATGTTCTGGCGCCGACATCGACGGACCGTAACGTATCATCCCAAGCCACACTGTAAATCCTGCCAGTTCCTTCCTGTGTCGACGCGAGACCTGAGACATATGCCGAATGGCAGTCACCGTCCGCCTCTTCAGCGGCTCCAGTGGATACGTCCCAGCTGCACACCCTTCCATCAAAGCTGCCGGCCCACAGTGTCTCGTCCTTACCCTCAGAGCGGGATTCAGTCAAGGATGTTATGCTCTTCTGATGACCTTGAATTACCTGTCTAGGCTCAGGCGTCCCTTCAACTAGGTAGTTCAGGTCACCGCTGAGTGATAGACTAATAAGCAGATTGTCGCTTCTGCCGGAAGGCCAAACCACTCCCACTTGCTGATCGCGGACGTTGGAGCTTCCTTCCTCTCCCAGGGTCCAGCTCTGGCAGACCTTGCCTGCCTCCGCATCCCAGATCTTCACGGTTCGATCAGCGCTTGCGGTGACAAACTTCTTCGAATCCTTCGACCATGACACGCTGAAGATACTTCCTTTATGCTCTCCTTCGCCGATCTGACCTTTGGGTTCGCCAGTCTTCCCATCGTAGAGCCAGATCTTTCGATCGGCACCAACACTAACCAATGTCGAACCATCGGGGCTGAATCCAACTCCATATATGTAATTTGTGTGCTTGTCCCTAATTCCGGTATTGAATTTGAACGGCGCTCCGTGGTAAAAGACTAGATTCTTGTCGTCACCAGCGGCTGCCGCTCTCAGCGGTCTTTGTTGCCTGATGGAGACGGAATTGATCTGCTGTGTATGCCCATAGATCTCACCAACAGTGTTGCCACTATCCCAAGTGATACAGTGGCCGTACCTCTGTTTTCCATCACCAACGGCGATGATGCGCTGAGAGTCGCCGTCCCAGGCGAGATCATTGATACGACCGTTAACAATGCTGTATTCACCCTTTGTGATTCCTTCACCGACGCAATCCCAAACTCTTACTAGACCAGTAGCGTCGCCACTGGCAACGTAAAAGCCAGAAGGCGAGAAGCGAGCAACTGTCGTCTGCGCCTTATGTTCGGTATACTGCCTAGCGATGGAGGGGTTATCGATCGAACGCAAGAAGATCGATTTACCGGACTGTGTGCCAAATTTTATCAGCTATCGTTGATTCTGATTGTCAGAAAGCTTGCACCACGAAATTCATACCGCATAAGCCAAACGTTCTCCTTTCGCATCCGAGGACAAGTGGGTGGGCTGACCCCTCGTGGTGGAGGGGCTGGCGGCCCAGATGGATTCTACGAGTCCAGTCAGCACTTATATCGGTTAGAGGAAGGAACAGAAGAAATCAACCATTGGTGATTGGCATGACTGGACCAGCAGACAATGACAAATGATCGATAATATAAAAGCGCACAGCCGGGGGGGGCCGGGGGGAGGAGTAGATAGTTGACAAGGTTGGAGGATGGGGGATTGTTTACTCCACCACTGCTTTCGACGGGGACCTTTTGACGTATGTATTAGTGGGGAAGGCCAGTTGAGCAACCACAACCAAAACCCCCTGAAACAGAGAAGCAGGAATGACCTAAAAATCTAAAGAATCAAGTCTGATTGTGTAAATAGCTGAGGTGACGGTATAGATTCTATCCATAACATAGCCCTTCTCAATTCAATCAATAGTAGTAGTACAGGTATCTCCCATTGCAAACATCTTGGGGATTGATAATTGTGACAAGACATGAAAATTAAACAACTCCGGCCGTGCATATTTCGACATCATATTGAATACCCGCAAACGAGCTCCCGCGTCTAATAGATGGGGGTTCCCTCCATCCTCGCCTTTGCTTCCGCTGCCAGGATCTCCGGATGTCTGTGGACACTTGGCATGAGGCCGATGCCGATTGCTCTCCGGATAGCCTTTGCAATCTTTCGCTGATTGACGGGTCGTAGGCCGGTTGTGCTTCTGTGCTTTATGCGGCCCATTGGGGTGATGTATTCGGACATTATAGAAAAGTTCTGTGGTGGAATTAATTCCTGGTTAGCCATCTACCGCCATCTTTGCGTTCAAACGAGAACGAGAGCATAGCGTTCTGGATTTCAAGCGAACCTTGTAAAGATCAAGCGGATTCATGTTCAAAGCGTCGAAAGCATCTGCTGCCGGGCCCTGGCGCTTTCTCCACTTCTTCATTTCTGCCGGACTGAGATCATGGGGAGCGTAGATATCACCAGCTTTCCAATCACGAGTCTGAAACTTCTCTAGGGCCCTACTTTCACCTTGGGCCTTTTGGTCCTCGAGGAATTTTTGGCGGTTTGGTAGGCGACGGCGCTGGAACACTCTGTCTAAACGCAAGTCAACGGCAGGTCCAAAAAGCATTCTTCGAAAGGATTTCTCAAATTATTCTTCGAGAAATAGGGGAAAGGAGATATGCGCACTTTGAAACACGGCAGCAGTACGTTGATGGGCTGTCTTGCTGGGCAGAGTTGAACTCCATCGGCAAGTCGACAAGGAACCAAGACTTAAGCCTAATGACCGAAAAGGTGATGGAGAAAGGAGATTGGAGACCATCTTGTCGACACTGTCTTCCCCCGGCCTTCACAAATTCAGAAGTGGAGGACGTTTGGAGATGAGACGAAATCACTGCTAGACTGGAGATCGGAGCCTGTCAGGAAGTGGAGCAATCAGATCGGATTTCTTTTCGCTGTGCCAAGAGCCGCACCACTTCCGCTGCTGTCTCCCTAGACAAGGAATCTCTTTCATTGCTCTTTTATCAACGTCCACCAAATTCAAGGGACCTTCGGCATTCCTCGATGATGCAAATTGGCACCTTTGACTCTATTAAATCAATAAATACTCTGGATCGGCTCTGGAGCCTCGAGGGATTGTTTCAAGACCTATCCGCCAGCTGGTCGCTCTTCCGGCTTTTATCAACATGCAATCCCATCTTACCAGACGAGTGTTTCGAGCCATCCTAAATAATGAGCCTTTATTCCCCTTGCAATGCTGCAATCGACTTCTTCAGATTACGCGACATCACCGGAGTCGAAGGCTAGACATTATCAATCCGCACCATGCTCAACGACGGAGCCTTTTCGCGTTCAACATGGCACCCCCAGCCAATACTCTTCAACCTACAACTTTACCTTCTGAGGCTGGCTTGAAACCGATGAGGGACTTAAAGAGAGCTCTATCCGACAAAAGTAGGGGTCCTGCACTTGGTGTATTGACAAAGGCGTTTCATGACTTCTTCGTGGCGCGAGCGGAGAATTCCGAAGTCATTACGGGGTATCAGGCGCAACTGCTCTCCATGACATGGAAATACGTTAGATCTCGTGAAGCCGAGCTGGAAGCTGAAGACTGGCAGACAATGTATTCTACAGAGAACCTTGAGAATGTGCTGTTTGTCCTGTCAGAAGCCAAATGCCTTCCGGAATCGCGTGAAGCCGTTCTCAAGGTAGCACGTTTCGCTTTTCTGGAACTGTGTGCTGATCATGGCTATGGTGTGAATAATATTAGTCGACCTGCCCTCTCTGCCTATATCAAATTCCAGGCCTTGAATGGCAACCCGGAGGAAGCACGGCACGTTGTCGAGAGGTTTTGGAGCAGGCTGCGCAAGACCAAGCCCTCGCCATGGCTTACAGTGATGAGAGGCTTTGCCATGAACAATGATAAGCAGCAACTCCGCTGGACCACCAAGAAGAAATTCGATGAGCTCGGTATCAAATTCGATAGCGAAACTCATGAGCAATTGGTCAAAATGCTCATTGAGCAAGACTTACTGTCGGCTGTCAAAATCATGTATGAGTGTCCAATTTCTGGCGAGATTGAGCCCACGCTTGCTACCAAGGAAGCTGTGGTTAAATATGCCCTTCTCAAATCCGAGATATCGTGGGCGAAGCCTATCGTTGAGTCAGTCTCTCAGGCCCCCAAATCAGAGACTGTGGGCATGATGTTGCTTTGGGAAGCGGTCCATGGCAGGACCGCCTCCGAGATCTCGGAAATGCTTCAGACATGGGCATTGGAGGATCCTAACGTGAAGACAGCGCTTACTGCCTCTCACATTAATAACCTCATTCAATACGCCAATTCCATCAAGAACCCGCAGCTTGCCACCGACTTTGCCGCGCTAGCTTCTCAATGGAATGTTGTGCCAGATACGCAAACACGTCTCCTGCGGTTGGAAGCTGAAATTATCGCTGGCAATGTGAGACAGACGATGGAATCGGTGGAAGAATTACAAGACGTCGGCTCATTCACACTTGAGAATTTGCCATTAATGAATAGGCTCCTAAGTATGCTTTGCTTGTTGGGGAAAGATGATGCCTTGTACGACCGCGTTTCGGCTTTTCTGGACCCATTATTTGAGAACGACGTCCGTCTAGAGGCAGACACCCTCGCAGCGCTGACGCACCTCTTGCTCTACCGACACGACTGGGAAGGCGTGTCAGAATTGCTTCGCCCCCGTCTCGGATCGTACGACTCGGAGGAAAGGACGAAAATCCGGCAGGCGCTCACTAATTACATCTTGGATACCACTCAGGATAGTGCAGACGCGTGGGAGGCATACGGATTGCTGCAGGTCGCCTTTCCAGAAACAGGTGTGAGCATGAGGACTGAGATCATGACGTCCTTCTTCAGGCGCAAAAGAGGCGATCTCGCGGTCCTCGTGTTTGGGCATATGCGCCAAGCTGAGGACTTCGCGCGACGGCCGAAGCCTGATACTTATGCGCGGTGTTTCCAAGGCATTGCTCAAATGCAAGACGCTAAAAACCTGGAGCTCGTCCACAACATGCTCAAGTTGGATGTAGAAGTGGACCTCAACACCCGACTGCTAAACGAGCTGATGCTGGCTTACGCCTGTTGTGATATGCCAGATAAGAGCATGGAGATCTTCCGCGACATTCTGCAGTCAGAGGAAGGACCGTCAACCAGGACGATCTTGGCTTTCTTCAGGATGTGCGAGAAGCATCATCATGGAACCCAAGAGGCGATGAGGATGATGGACAAGGTCAAACTACTCGAGATCGAGATTGACCGACGGCTGTATATAGCATACGTCGAAGCGTTGGCTGCACAGTGCGAGTTTGAGCTTGCGACTCAGGCGATTGACAAGATGCAAGAGGAAATCGGATACTCTCCGACTTACGACTCGTATGTCACCTTTCCTCTGACAGACACTTTATTTTGACGCCGTTGTTGTGGCGACACTGCTAACAGTTCACGTTGTAGAATTGGGCGCCTCTACAATGCCATTCCGTACCAATACTGGAAAGATGAGGTCGAAAAGTGGGCCAAAACGCACTACCCGGAGCAATGGGCACAGCTTGAGAAACTCGAACGCACCGATCATGAAGAGGGCTTCAAGTTTGAGTTGGATAGCCGATAATCCTGGCCTATAGGGGGCATTCATTGTACATATCTTATACGCTGCAGCATTCTGTACAATATAATAAGGAACGAAGTACCAGATCAGATCAAAGCGAACCACCCCCTCTTGGTCTCCAAGGCTAGGTACCGTATTTTCAGTCTTTCAGCCAACACGAATTTTGGTCGTGACACGACGATGCGCTCTGTACAGCGCAGCATCGCTTGAGATGGAATCTAGGGTCCGCAGCCTGCGGATCCAAGTGTGACCCCGAAGCTGCTGAAATGACCTGCTGTCACGCCTACCATGCCATTACCAGCGGAGCATTGCAGATCCCTCTCGCCCGAGCATTTGAGGGTAGTGCCTGAAGTACCGTAGCTGTAGTACTCCTACAGAGAGACACCGAATGAGCAAGAAGGGAAAGCATTGACAGCTTGGCTCAAGGACTTGGGACCGAGAAATCAAACCCGGAGAGACTTACAATTCCATAATGAACAAAGTTATACGGCGCCGTCACATACATGTTCTGGTAGCTCATAGCGTTAGCACTACCATCCGATTCTAGTCAGCACCTCACTGCCCAGCACAGCACTTACAGGAACACCATCATTCGCATTATTTCCCCGGATAAGCGTCCCGTTCTGCGCAGTGCCAAAGTCGACGAATGCCTGGTTGCCAATCGGAAATGCCGCGAGGGCATTGCTTCTGATCGGCTTGGTTGGGAAATTCTGCGCCAAAGCAATATAAGACATGTATGTCAGTGCGCCGCCGAGCGAGTGTCCCGTGGACTCGAGGGTATAGCCCGGATACTGGGCAATCAGGCTCTGGACCTCGGCGATGACTTCGTCGTGGACGGCGGCCCAGGGTCCGTACACGCCGTTCATGATCGTGACGCCGGAGGGGAAGCTGACGCCAGCCAAGGTCGGGGTGACCTGGGTGGTGTCGACATCGTTGAGGAGATCCGTGGCCGTGGTCGACCCTCTCATGACGACCGCGATGGTCTTCTTCGTGGTAGAGTAGCCGATATAACCCTAGGGTCATTGCACGTGTGAGCGACGGTCCAGGCTTACTCTGATTCTCAATGAACAACAGGCCAAGGCACCTGGGTATCGGTTGCCAGATCATAGATCTGCTTGGTGATGGCGACATCGAAAGCAGAGCCCACGCAGCCTGTATAGGCAGCAGAGGAGAGCTCGGCGGCTCACTGCAAGTCGGGGAAAGCGGATGGATCTGCCGCATGTCAATTAGACAGACAAGTGCTTGTACGGTCACTGTCTCACGAACCGGAGGTAGCCCGAGATTCCAGCAGGGGTGCAGCGCACACAAAGGACGCCAAGGAGAGTCCTGCAATGATAACGAAACCCTTGGAAAGCATCTTGTCCTTCTGTAGAGGTCTGGCGAAACTCAACGATGCGATTCACTGAGACTGCTGATGAAAGCGGCCATCCAACAAGACATTCTGGAGCCTTTTATACCACAACCTGCCTTCTCCAACCGAGGCGAGGCCTCAAGAAAGCCCACGATGCGTCCGTCTGCCATTAGAGATTTCTCTCTGCTGTCATCACAACGACAATGGCACGGACATCCTGTCCCCAATCACCCTGAAACACCCAGTTCAAACGCTGCAGTACGAATTGATGCAGTAATCTTGCATATCAAAGTACAGTAGCGGACTCTCCTTCGTCCTCTTTTCCGAAATATCCGACCAACAACCCTCTCATCCTGTAATGCCGAAGCACTCGCATACCCTCCCCAGTCCAGACATGCATCGTGCGTCTCCTTCATCGGACGCAAGCACAAGACAAAAAACGAAGGTACGACCTCGGCAAGGCTTCATTTCACCTTTCCCCCAGCGCTGAATGGTCAGAGAAATCAAACAAGGCACTGTGCGGAAACAAGCAAATCCTGCACAAGTGCCGGTTCTGCCGGCATTTGAAACCGAGGCCGATGATGCAGTCTGCAGATGCAGAAGTTTAGCCCTGTTGAAAAGTCTCGATTGGTCGACGATATCAATATGCGGGGCATTGTGACGCATCAGGGTCAGAGAGACGGAGATGGACACCTTTTTAAGATAACCGAGCCGTCTAGATGCATCTGCAACCTGGGGGACGAAGTTAAACAGATGAAACGGCGCCACTACCCCGCATTTTGCTGCAATGTCGGCCTTGATGTTCGACCAGGATATCTCTTGTTTCGTGGGGTAGTCTCGTCCGTCGGGTGCAATCGGGGGCGGAGGTGCCGTTAGCTGCATGGACTCATCCTGATCATGAAGAGTGTTAAGTGATAATAGGTCAAGGAAGTTTCTCGTCTTCAAGGCTCCTCATCGACCTGGAGCATCCAAGCCGTGCTCAAGATAAGTGAGATGATGAGTTGGTGTGGTTATGACCTGGCCAGTGAGGAGTAATCAAGTCCGGCCACACGAGGAAGTGAAGAAGAGTCTCTTCACTCCACCCTTGCTCCTAACATAATTGTGTGAGACGGTAATGTTGCTACACCAAAATAATAATAAAGAAAAGAAAAGGATGTGCTATTCATCAATTACTCATAAGCTTTTTTACTCAACCCGTGTTCCCATGCAATGTCAATACTAATGTGTGTAGAACCGCCTTTGCGGTCTTTTAAACCCCCAGCAAATGCAACATCATGAATCTAGAGAACTCAAGTGTCCTTGTCTAACTATATATTACGAGTGCTTAACTGCGGCAAGCCGTTGGGTCATGCTGTAGTATGTGGTTAGATCCAACATAAGAACCAATAGTGCAAGGAGACTACTCACAAGTCAAAGAATGAGAACTGGCTAGGGCTGCTACCGTACTTGTATACGAATCGGCTCGCAAGGTAGCTGCCGAAGATAGCCCGCAGATAGTTCTCCGGAACCTATTCGAAAGTCAGTCAGTTTCTCGCTGCTGCGCAACAAAGTAGGGGGGAGACGCACCCGTTGAAGAATGGTGTCCAGACCAATCTTGTCCAGGAGAAGATTGGGAAGGGCATCGCTCAAGACAGAGCGGCGGAGCTCTACATTATCCCACAGGTTCGTTTTTTGCAACTCCTCATCCAGCTGCGTAATGGCAACGCTGAGTCTATCACTCAACACGCTGCGCAGAGCCCCAGTCTGCTCATGCTCGCGCCAGATCGCCTCAAATTCCAGTGTGGCGTTGGACTTGATGACCTCCTGCACTTGCTTGACGTAGTCACTGTAGAACTGTGGTACGGTGCCGTCTTCTCGGATGCACATGTTCTCGACAAACTCCTTGTCGTCAAAAGAGAGCGAGGCCAGAACTTCCAGCGACGACGATGTCACACCACCCTTGTTAGCCGAAGCATCCTTGAACAGGATGCATCCGGCGCGTTCAAGGCGCAACTTGCTGTCCTGGGTGATGAACAGATTGGCACCCTCGACGATGTACGGAATGACAGACTTGCCATTTTGAATGAGCTTTCCAACCGTGGACAGGTCGATGGACTCGGGCCGTCCACCGCAAGGCACGAACATGTCGTAATGCTGGTCGGAACGCAAGTGGAAAGTGTTGCGGAACAGCATTCCATTGTGCACGACCTCGCCGCTGGGAAGCTTGACGTCGCTCTCATCCACCAGGACGCGGTAGCCCTCAGGAGACAATTTCGACAGATCAAATTCGGAAATGGTGACTCGCTTCTTAGCCAGTCGGATAAGCTCCTGGTGATCCAAACCTTGAGGGTCGACAATCACACCGGAACCATCAACAATGGCGGTGTACTTCTCGTTGGCAAGCAAAATTTCGTTGGATCCCAGATCACCGTCGGGACCGCCAGTCTGGAGTTTGCGGATGTTGGAGGGATCGATGCCCAGTTTGCGGTAGATACCTAGTACATACTGGCGCACCGAAAGGGTAGTCATACCGTAGGTATCGTGAGGAATACCACCTAGCCTGGGGCTCTTGCCCGTGAAGAAGGACTTCCACCACGGAGCACCACGGTTGCGCGCGTGTTCTGTGGCCCAATCGACCAACTCGGCCGTGTTCTCGTCGGGGCCCATGAACAGAATCTCATCCTTGCCATGTAGGTCAACGATGGGGTCCTTGATGCCCGGGCTGGCTGGCGGCAACAGGAGATCCAGAATGCTGTCGATGTACTTTTCAAAAGCGACGCGAGCCTTGTCCTGGTGGTTAACATCCAGCAGAATGACACCCTTAGCACCTCCTTCCGGAATATCCTTGTTCTTGCGCTGCTGCGTGTTCGCCAAGTTGTAGTTTTCATCAAACAGGGAGCGCGCATTGATGCTGTAAGCTTCCTTGTTCCGACTCTTGACAATACGGATACCACCTCGAGCAATGTCGCGGAAACGCAGGTGGAATCCGCGGAACTCGGAGCTGATCACAAGGAACATGCCGTACAGACGCTGTGGGTACTCGTGTTCGGGAAGGAAATCAGGGTTCAGTCGGAAGCTGAGAGCCACCTTCGTCGGTGTGAAGAAGTTGGTCTTAAGAATGGAGGTGTTGAATACCCGGAAGGCGCTCATGACCATTTCGTCGTGCTCGTTAGCAACAGTACCGGAAATGAGCTGCTTAAGTCTTTTGCTGTCCAGGACTTCGTCGACCTGCAAGCGCAGGTAGCTGAGCGTTGGCAGAAAGTCGTCCTCCGAGGCGCGAGTCTGCACGTAATGGGTGTTGGCAAAGTCCAGGTAGAGCTTGTGGATCAGCTCCGGGTACTTGTTAATGATCTCGAAAATGTAGTCGGCCGTGAAGGTTTCAGTACGCAGCCGCTTCTTGATCTTCGACAGCAACTCTTGATGGACGCTATTGTTGACATCAAGCACGGCAGTCAGCGAGGTGTATTCCGAGCCGAGACGGTTCAAGAACTGCTGCACGAACACCCACGCGCAGTGAGCGTAGATAGTCTCCTGCAAACTCAGACGGCCAACGGCGAAGTGGTGCTGGAAGCGGTTCTGAGGAATGCAGTAAAGAAGAGAGGTCTCCTTGATGATCTGATGGATGGCTGCCTCAATGGGAGGGTACTTGGCTGAAATCTCTGCATTCTTCAGCGGGCGCAGGTAGAGAGAGATGACCGTGATGCCGTTGGAGAAGTTTTCAAGATACTTCCTAGAGCTGGTCAAGCGGTAGTAGTGGTACAAGTCGGAGAGCGCGCTGAACAGACCCATAGCAGAGCCCTGGCGATAGGCGATAACCAGTCTCTTCTCGCGACTGCCTTCAATTTCAAACATCTCAATGACAGGACCGGCCCGGTTTACAGCATTGCTGATGATTTCCTGATAGATGGCCTTGGTGTTGGCAGTTGCTTTTTGCAAGAATCTCTTCTCGCCGATGATCTCGATGTCGGTCTCGTTGGGACCGGGATTGGGGTTGGCGAATTGACACTTGTAGACGAAGTAGCAACGGAGCTGCTGCTCGCTGTCTCCAGGGAGAGGAGTCGGCGAACGGAAAGTCTCAACTCTGTAGCTGTTTTCAGGAGTCGAGTTGTTGATATACTTGGCGTCAATTCTTTGTTCGTAACGGGGCCCATCGACGGACGAAATGCCAGGTTTGCTAGTATCGATGTAGACAGCATGATCTTCCGCTTCCTTGTCCAGTCTGATTTCAAGCTTCTTGTCATCCCGCGCATAAGCTGCCACTTTCGCGGCATAGAGAGACAGGATCTGGGTGACAATAGAGTCGACGGTTTCGGTTTGGAAGTAGGTGTCGTCGATTCCAAGCATGTTGTAGAACCAGGTGGTCTCGGAAACAATAAAATCACTGGGGAAGAAGCCCTTCTCTTCTAATTGGTCCATGACTATAGGCGAAACAACCCGTGTCAGCGGCACAGATCTTGCGCATGAACTTATCCGGAAGAGTAATGCATACCTTGTTCCATCTGTTTCTGCTTGCCCTCGAACTTGGCAGCAATGTAGCCGGGATCTTCCTCGGAGAGGACCCGGTGTAGAGGGCTACCGGGAATCCCCAGATGAGTAGGCTGGGGAGATGGATGGCGTACAGCCGATCCCGCTACATGGTCGAGAATCTTGTTGTGTGGGTATCTTTGAAAGCCAATGGGGGTGCCAGCACCAGACTGAGCGCCATCGTTACTCCCGTAGAGCTTGGGAGCTGATCCGGTGGGAAGCACGTTGCCATTGACATGGGCATCTGAATGCGGGGGGGTGGAAGCGGGGGAAGCCATGATGTGTGTTCGTATCTTTTTCGACGGAGAGTTGAGAGGTTGATGAAGGGAAAGAAAGGGGTGAAGTAAAACTGCTGGTGTTAAAGAGTGTTAGCGGTGAGTAAGGAGATGAAAGTCAAAAGAAAGTTCATGGGAGGGGAGGTTGTTAGGAAGCTTCATAGATAAGAAGGATACACAAGCACAGGCAAGGAACCAGGATATGCACGACGGGAGAGATAAGAAGGT